ACGAGACGTGGCTCTGGACAGTAAGCTTGGCGAATGAGTAGTGGACAAAGAACTACTGGCGATGGTAAAAGGAGTGAAGTTCACTGAGGACAAGGCTAAGGAAATGAAATTTAAAAAGTGCCAATGGATGACGAAGTGACACATAATTTTCAGCTTCTTTAGCACCGTCCACAAGCACATCTTCGAAAAAGGCAATTACACTCTTTCCGTCTACAAATCACATGGGCAGGCAATTTCCACCAAAACAGTTTAAAGACATATCTTAATAGTTTAAAAGTAGATTGTAATAAAATTTAAGAATTAACATTTCAGCTGGACAGGAACACTTCAGTCCCTGAAGTCGTATACATTCTTGTTGAGCACCACAACTGCACCTTATCAGTAAATCATTAAAAATTATCCCATCAAGACACAGAACAGAGAACACGCGAACACAGCGGTATTGCCTCCAGATGAAAGGTAAGTGTGGCTTCTTCCTCCGAGTTTTTGCGCCCGATTTTCTTGTGCTTCTTATTTTCTAATAATCTTTCTGTACTCCGGACTTGTCTATACAAAAATAGCTTTGTTCACTACATAGCGGGCGGGCAGCTGTATTGATGATTTCCTCTCCCACTCGCAGCCACTGTGTTTACAGCTAGTAAATAAAACATAGACTTTCCCCTGTCCTCTTCAAACCAGCCAACCATCAAACGATCTACGTTATGTAGCCTTTAAATACGCCAATCTCAGCACTCTTCCTCCCTTGCCTCGAACGAAACCGGCAGTTCTCGCTCTTTCCCCAGTTGCAAAATTTGAACTCGCGCCACCCATCACAAGGCATCCACAACCACAGAAAAAATTTTCGCAGGTGGTGTATGGCTCCGGCCGAGCCGAGTCGAATTTTAGTAGTTGCCGTATTTCGTTGTTTTTGTGGTTGATTTAGGGGTTTCCACAATGTTGCTCCGCTGTTTCGTTGATTTCGCATCTTTTTGCCCTCAGCCGCAGAAATATGGCACTTTTTTTTGTCATCATTGGGGCTTGTTTGTCACTTCCAACTGAAATTTTTTATGCCAGTACTGGATTCAAGCGTGCTTTTGCCTTTGTTTGCTGAAATCGTCAACATCATCTTAAACATCCCTCCTCCACCCCGAACACCGCCCACATCCTACCACCACCGATGACCACTCACCCCCAACCACAAACAACCCCACTGTGTAGAGCGCCAGACCGCTCTACACCATGAATAGGCCCAAAGTGAAGAGCGCTAAACCGCTCAGCAGGGGCTTGAAGAGCGTTAAACCGCTCAGCAGGGGCTTTGGTCTCACGGTACCGTACTCACGGAATATCGCTTTGTAGTCGTGTTGTATAATGCAGCACAATATCACCGCTTGGAGAAGATGAATATCCAGAGCGAGTGCGGGGGAAGGGGAAAAG